ATTCCTTGAACCTGGGAGGTGGAATTTGCAGTGATCTAAGATTACATCACTGCACTTTAGCCTAGGTGGCAGAGTATGATTGCCTCAGAAAAAAAAAAAAATACTGGCAAACCGATTGCAACAGCATATCAAAAAGCTCATCCACCATGATCAAGTAGGATTCATCCCAGGGATGCAAGGCTGGTTCAACATACGCAAGTCCATAAACGTAATTCACCACATAAACAGAACCAAAGACAAAAACCACATGATTATCTCGATTGATGCAGAGAAGGCTTTTGACAAAATTCAACAACCCTTTATGCTAAAAACCCTCAATAAACTAGGTATTGACGGAACGTATCTCAAAACAATAAAAGCTATTTACGACAAACCAACAGCCAATATCATACTGAATGGGCAAAAACTGGAAGCATTCCCTTTGAAATCTGGCACTAGACAAGGATGCCCTCTCTCACCACTCCTATTTAATATAGTACTGGAAGTTCTAGCCAGAGCAATCAGGCAAGAAAAAGAAATAAAGGGTATCCAAATTGGAAAGGAGGAAATCAAATTGTCTCTATTTGCAGATGACATGATTGTATATCTGGAAGACCCCATCATCTCAGCCCAAAATCTCCTGAAACTGATAAACAACTTCAGCAAAGTCTCAGGATACAAAATCAACGTGCAAAAATCACAAGCATTCCTATTCACCAGTAATAGACTTCAAGAGAGCCAAATCAAGAACGAACTGCCATTCACAATTGCTACAAAGAGAATAAAGTACCTAGGAATACAACTAACAAGGAACGTAAAGGACCTCTTCAAGGAAAACTACAAGCCATTGCTCAACGAAATAAGAGAGGATACAAACAGATGGAGAAATATTCCATGTTCATGGTTAGGAAGAATCAACATCGTGAAAATGGCCATACTGCCCAAAGTAATTTACAGATTCAACGCTATTCCCATCAAGCTACCAATGACCTTCTTCACAGAACTGGAAAAAAACACCTTAAACTTCATATGGAACCAAAAGAGAGCCCGCATAGCCAAGTCAATTCTAAGCAAAAAGAACAAAGCAGGAGGCATCACACTACCGGACTTCAAACTATACTACAAGGCTACAGTAATCAAAACAGCATGGTACTGGTACCAAAACAGAGATATAGACCAATGGAACAGAACAGAGGCCTCAGAGGAAATACAACATACCCACAACCATCTGATCTTTGACAAACCTGACAAAAACAAGCAATGGGGAAAGGACTCCCTGTTTAATAAATGGTGTTGGGAAAACTGGCTAGCCATGTGCAGAAAGCAGAAACAGGACCCCTTCCTGACACCTTACACCAAAATTAACTCCAGATGGATTAAAGACTTAAACATCAGACCTAACACCATAAAAACCTTAGAAGAAAATCTAGGCAAAACCATTCAGGACATAGGTGTAGGCAAGGACTTCATGACCAAAACGCCAAAAGCAATGGCAACAAAAGCCAATATAGACAAATGGGACCTAATCAAACTCCACAGCTTCTGCACGGCAAAAGAAACAGTCAGTAGAGTGAATCGGCAACCAACAGAATGGGAAAAAATTTTTGCAGTCTACCCATCTGACAAGGGGCTGATATCCAGAATTTACAAAGAACTAAAACACATCTACAAGAAAAAAACAAACAAGCCCATTCAAAAATGGGCAAAGGACATGAACAGATACTTTACAAAAGAAGACATACAGGAGGCCAACAAACATATGAAAAAATGCTCATCATCACTGGTCATCAGAGAAATGCAAATCAAAACCACATTGAGATACCATCTCACACCAGTTAGAATGGCGATCATTAAAAAATCGGGAAACAACAGATGCTGGAGAGGATGTGGAGAAATAGGAACACTTTTACACTGTTGGTGGGAATGTAAATTAATTCAACCATTGTGGAAGACAGTGTGGCGATTCCTCAAGGACCTAAAAATAGAAATCCCATTTGACCCAGCAATCCCATTACTGGGTATATATCCAAAGGATTATAAATCATTCTACTACAAGGACACGTGCACACGAATGTTCATTGCAGCACTGTTTACAATAGCAAAGACCTGGAACCAACCCAAATGCCCAACGATGATAGACTGGATAGGGAAAATGTGGTACATATACACCATGGAATATTATGCAGCCATCAAAAACGATGAGTTCACGTCCTTTGTAGGGACATGGATGAACCTGGAAACCATCATTCTCAGCAAACTGACACAAGAGCAGAAAATCAAACACCGTATATTCTCGCTCATAGGCGGGTGTTGAACAATGAGAACACATGGACACAGGGAGGGGAGCACTACACACTGGGGTCCATTGGGGGGAAATGGGGGAGGGGTGGGGGGTGGGGAGGTGGGAAGAGATAGCATGGGGAGAAATGACAGATACAGGTGAGGGGACGGAAGGCAGCAAAGCACACTGCCATGTGTGTACCTATGCAACAATCTTGCATGTTCATCACATTTACCCCAAAACCTAAAATGCAATAAAAATAAATAAATAAATAAATAAATATTTAAAAAAAAAGATGAAAAAAGAAAAGAAAAGAAAAGAAAAGAAAAGAAAAGAAAAGAAAAGAAAAGAAAAGTGGTGGTGTGTGCCTGTGGTCCCAGCTACTGGAAAGGAAGCCGAGGTAGGAAAATGGCCTGACCCCAGGAGTTCAAGGCTGCAGTAAGCCGTGATTCTGCCACTGCACTCCAGCGTGAGAGACAGAGAAGAGTGAGAATAATAATTAATAATATCAACAATAATAAAAGCTTTCTGATCAAACAAAAATATTCTCACTGAAACTTCTAGAAATAGTTGCCTTCAAACTGTTACAGGAATATTGGGAACATCTGGGCATCAGTGAGGCTTTGGGCTGCCCCTGAGTACTCAGGGTGCCTCTGTCTAGAAACACAGAAGGACCTCTCAGCACAGAACAGCCTGGGAGATAGATGGCAGCTTCAGCCCTGCCCCTCCACCCTCGCAGCACTTCCTGGGAATCTCTGATAGGAGGAGCTTCATTCCATACCATGAGGTCTGTTCCTGTCTCTTAATTCCATGAAGAGCAGGGACTGTATCTTACTCCACTCCTGCCCAGCCATGTCACAACAGCGACTCCCAAAGGTGGCCACTGTTTGTGTAGGTTGTGGGTACTGGGCCGTGATCCAGCCCCTGCCATGGGTCATACTGTCCCTCTCTCTGTCTGAGTCACACAGCCTGTGTGCTTCTGACCCAGTAAACCCCTCATGGGCAAAGACTTTCTCAATTCCTCCCACCCACCTTCAGCTGCTGGAGCACTGACTTCCTCTCTTCCCACACTCCCCTGCACCCTGGAAAGACTCCCAGAATGCCAGCTCCTGCACTGTCAGTGACTGTCAGCCTGGCCCTTCCCAGCTCACTGTGCACTGCTCCAGGGTGAGGACAGCTTCTTTGTCCCAATGTCCCCAACACACAGCCCGATGCCTGTCACACAGTAGGTGCTCTGTAAGCATCTGGTAAATTCATGATCTGGGGACACAATAAACAGCCCCCTTTCTTGCCTTAATTCTGAACAATTATAAACAATGGGTAAGATACACACAGAGGATATGACTTCTGTCTAGCCATCTCCTCTCGCCTGCACCCCAATCCCTGTAATAGGAGCCAGAGGGGATTTGAGGTCCTTCAAACCCTGGAATTCCCCATCCTATAAGCATGTGGTCCTGTTGCCTGTCCTGAGACCAAATCGTGCATCCAGCTCCCTCCCCTGGGCTGCACACCCAGGATACTGGAACACAATATGGGTACATTACAGCAATGTCCCAACAGTATATGGTCATCAGGGTACTACAGCAAGTGAGAGTTAGGGGATTTGGGTTCTTGTTGCCACACTTACACTGACTCACCAAATCCCTTCTTCCCTCTGGGTCTCAGTTTCCCATTCTGTTAAGTGAGGAGAAGGACCTGGCTGATTCCGTCTAATATCCGAGGATCTAACACACAGGTCTAGGCTGCCATGATTACCTTCTGCAGTTCCCTGATTATATTACATGATTCCATTATTATACTTCATGAATATATAAGGAACTTGATAACATTTTGTGATGTGATGCTATTTTACAATTGTTTAACAACAGCCTCAGATTCTATATGTTGGCTCTTTTGTCCTTAGAAAGCACAAATGCATGTTTTAAATGAATTCAGTGCCGTATCAATTTTCTACTGTTTCAAAAACAAAACAAAATACCACCCTAAAACTTAATGGTGTAAAAACACTACCATTTTATCATCTCATGTTCTGTGGGGAACTGGGCTCAGCTGGGCCGTTCTGCTCAATGTGATATCTGGGGCTGCAGCAGAATATCAAAATGCTCAAGGGAGCTCACTTGCATGGCTGGCAGTGGTGCTGACTGTCACTGGGAACTCATCTGGGGCTTTGGTTTTCCTTCTCATGGCCTCTCCATGTGCCTTGGGATCTGGCTGGTTCCAAGAGGCAAGAATTAGAAACTGCCAGTTCCCTTAAGGCCTAGACTTGGATGTTCCAGAACACCACTGCATTCAAGAGTTGCAGAAAGAAGCTCCATGTGGAGAGTAGCATGCATGTGCAGGGAATGGAGAGAGCGTTTGGGAGGAAAGTGTGTTTTTGGAGACTAACCTCTACAAACACTGACACCATCTAATTAAAGCACCTGCTAAAAACAGATGAAGAAACATGCTGGAGTCCAGTAGTAGTTAAAGTGTCATCTGTCTTCCAGAGCCTGGGAACTAATGCTGGGTTCTCCTGCTTGCCTTTGCTATGTAAGAAATGAGGACACCCCAACAAGTGTGGAGGCAGCCTGAGGACTGAAAGCCTTTGCCCCTGCCCCTTCACTCTTACAGCACCATGACTCAAGTGACTCAGTGCCTCTCTCTGAGCCTCAGTTTGCTCTTCTGTAAAATGGGGGCATCGGTCTTGAGGATGCTGAAGGTGCCTCCACCCCTAACCTTCTCTGTCCCTCTGTGCTCCTAGGTACTCCTTCCAGGACGAGGAGGACATGTTCATGGTAGTGGACCTGCTCCTGGGGGGAGACCTGCGCTACCATCTGCAGCAGAATGTGCATTTCACAGAGGGGACTGTGAAACTCTACATCTGTGAGCTGGCACTGGCCCTGGAGTATCTTCAGAGGTACCACATCATCCACAGGTAATGGGGCTGCTGGCAGGATGCCTGGGACAGGGGCATCATGGGCTAGGGTGTCTGGAGCAGTCTGCAGTAGTGGGGAGAGAATTTCGTCCCTTACATGGTTTAGAAGAGGTAGTACATGGGGGAGAAAAGCAGAACACTTTTCTTCCTATTTCTTTTACGTTCTCTACAAGGGGCACCTTGTAGACCTCTCATCCTGTACCCGTACACTAACTGCTTAGAGACATGGCTGGTGGCTGGTCTACGTTTCTGTGCTCCTGTATGCCTGGGGAAGCTGGAACATTCTGTCCTTCTTGTCTCAAGTCAGAAGGAATACAGTGGAATTATTATACTAGCAAGTTGAGAGTGTGAGGATTCTACTCTCTTTTTTTTTTCCATACTTTGAAATCAGTACTGTGCATTGTGGGCAATCTCTTTCTCTTGAGAAACCTCAGTGCTGGCCCTGGGCTTTTGCATAAAAGCTTTGAGTTTCTGCGGCCTCCTCAGGGACCATGCTTCTCCCTGCTGTGCACAGCTGTGCCATGTCCTACACAGGTGAGAAAAGTGACTTTGTCTGCAGAAGCTGGAGCTCAATGAGAGGCTCTGGAAAGTGATGGTATCAGTTATAACTCTTCTCACTGACCCCAGAGAAGGCAGCTGGTGTGAGGGGCTCCAAATTGGTTTACCCATGGTCTTGCACAGTGCTTGGCTGACCTCCTTGTAATTTGACTAATTTTGGAAGATTTAGAAAAGATGAGGTCTTGAACTTCTAGGTAAAGATGACAGATTAAGCACATACGTCTACACTTTTCCCTTCTTAAATTCCATTAAATGACAGTAAGGAATATTTGAAATGTGATAAAATTATGAAGATAGGGAAAACTGAAAGGGGCTACAGTAAAAACAGTGGGGGAAGCTGGAAAGAAAGATGTAGAGTGATCCATGACTTAGGATACCAGAAACTGAATTCAAATTTGCTACTGGGGAGAGTCAAGAACTAATAGATGCTAAAGAATCCCCCAAATGCTCAGGAATTGGCAGCACCTCCTGGCATCTATGGAATGGGGGCAGTTGGTGAAAAGAGGTGAATTGTCAAAAACTTCGTATGTGCTGTTAAGAAACACAGACCTCTTTCTGAACTCTGCAGAACCAAGTGGTTGCCCCCTTCCTTACCCAAAAGGAAGACTAAAGGTTAGTCCCCTAAATGAGGGTAAAATGGAGAGTGTCTGGGCTGAAGGACATCAAGTCTGCCTGGGTTGGGATACTGTACTAAAAATGGCAAGATTATATGAACATATACTTACTAGATGCCAAAATGACACCCTCCCACCCTAACTGGGATCAGAGAATGGTGCCTTTATGCCTTCATCCTCCACACAGAGAACTCAAGTGATCTCAGTGGGAATGTGACTGAGCCGGGAGGAAAGAGATTGTCCCATCAGAGGTTTTCCAGGCACCTTAGAGTGTAGGTCACAGTAAACAAGCCCCATTCATTCATTATCAGCTCCCAATTAAGTTAATGACAACATAGGATTATCAGACATCCAGAGAAATTTTCTAACTTGAATATCAAGATCTAAACAACAAAATGAAAATAAAAATAAAGCTTAGACAAAATAGGGACTCTGGAAACATCAAAATAACTATAATCAGTATTTTCAGAGGATAAAAGCAGCATTTTGCATGTGTGAAAAAAGAAATAACATTTTTTAAAACTTAGGGAACAAACATCAGAGCTCTTAGGAATCAAAGTGTGAAAGCAGAAATTTAAAGAACTCAAAAGATGTGTTGGAAGATAAAGCCGTTATACTTTTCTATAAAGTAGAGTAAAAAGACAAAAAGGAAATATGAGCAAAAACATAAGAAAGTTAAAGAACCCATCTTCAGATTTCAACATTGGAAAAAATAAAAGAAAACTAGGGAGAAATCATCAATGAAATAATTAAAGAACAATCTCCTGGACCTGAAATAAGTGAGTTTCCATATTGAGGTAGCCCACCAGGGGCACAGAGTAATGGCTAGAAACAGACACACACCAAAACAAATGTCAGATTTGATAAGCTTCCAGAGAAGAGCCACAGGTCATAGAGACGGAAGAATCAGAATAGTTTTGAATTTCTTTTTTCGTTTTTGTTTTCTGTTTCTTGAGACAGGGTTTTGCTGTCACTCAGTCTGGAGTGCACTGGTAAAATCGCAGCTCACTGCAGCCTCAACTTCCTGAGCTCAAGTGATCTTCCCACCTCAGCCTCCTAAGTAGCTGGGACCACAAGCAGACACCACCATCCTTGGCCATTTTTTTTTGTATTTTTTTTGTAAAAACGAGGTTTCAACACGTTGTCCAAGGTGGTCTCAAACTCCTGAACTCAAGCCACTCACCCACCTTGGCCTCCCAACGTGCTAGGATTACAGGTGTGAGCCACAGCGCTCAGCCAGTTTTGCATTTCTTATTATTTTCTATTTTTCTTTTTTTTATTGCATTTTAGGTTTGGGGGTACATGTGAAGAACATGCAAGATTGTTGCATAGGTACACACATGGCAGTGTGGTTTTCTGCTTTCCATCCCCTCACCTGTATCTGTCATTTCTCCCCATGCTATCTCTTCCCACCTCCCCACCTCCCCATCCCTTCCCCATTTCCCCCCAACGGACCCCAGTGTGTATGCTCCCCTCCCTGTGTCCATGTGTTCTCATTGTTCAACAACCGCCTATGAGTGAGCACATGCAGTGTTTGATTTTCTGCTCTTGTGTCAGTTTGCTGAGAATGATGGTTTCCAGGTTCATCCATGTCCCTACAAAGGACACGAACTCATCGCTTTTGATGGCTTCATAATATTCCATGGTGTATATGTACCACATTTTCCCTATCCAGTCTATCATCGTTGGGCATTTGAGTTGGTTCCAGGTCTTTGCTATTGTAAACAGTGCTGCAATGAACATTCGTGTGCATGTGTCCTTAGAGTAGAATGATTTATAATCCTTTGGATATATATCCAGTAATGGGATTGCTGGGTCAAATGGGATTTATATTTTTAGGTCATTGAGGAATCGCCACACTGTCTTCCATAGTGGTTGAATTAATTTACATTCCCACCAACAGTGTAAATGTGTTCCTATTTCTCCACATCCTCTCCAGCATCTGTTGTTTCCAGATTTTTTAATGATCGCCATTCTAACTGGTGTGAGATGGTATCTCAATGTGGTTTTGATTTGCATTTCTCTAATGACCAGTGATGATGAGTTTTGCATTTCTTAAATACTAGAAGGCAGTGTAGATATGCTGCTCAACCACGTGTGAGGGTATACATTTTCCCCAGTTCCAGGTCTCAAAAAGTGTTACTCCCATATACTTTTTCTTAAGTACTAGGAAAATGAGATGGACTCCAAAATGAAGGAATGAATCAGAGGATAAAGAAATGGAGTACAGAAAGCTGGAACTCCAGCAAAGCAGATAGGCATAGGAAATCTCCAGGATGCTGCTGAAGGGATGTCAGTTGTGTCTCACATGTATACCATGACCAGTTCTTGATTAGCGTGGATTAGAGACTCTGGAAGAGAGTTATTCAGGAAAAGTGAAATTCCTGATGCATCTGGCCTTGAGAGGAGATTCATTTAGTTGGTAAACAGTTAGAACACGTGGACACAGGGAGGGGAGCATCACAAACTGTGGTCAGTGGGGGGCGCTGGGGGAGGGACAGCAGGAGTGGGGAGGGTGGGGAGGGATAATGAGGGGAGAAATAGGGGGATGAAGGCAGCAAACCACCTTGCCGTGTATGTACCTATGCAACAATCCTTCATGATCCGCACATGTACCTCAGAACCTAAATTACAATTAAAAAAAAAAAAAGAATCTGAAATTGAGTTATGAGAGGTTTGGAAAAAAAACTCAGTAAAAATAACATTATTAATTTTGGGAAATAAAAATGTTCACAGGACAACATCTGTGTAGAGTACAGCTCACTAAGTGGTTCGGTTCTGTATATAATACCTAATCGTATCACTTAAACCCTGAAAATCTAAGCAAAAACTCAATGATAGTCCATCAAGAAACTGGAGAAATGGGAAAGATGACTGGGTCTCTCGGTATTGGAGAAATACTGCTAAGTCTTTATCTTCTCTAGCAGGAAGTCCAGTCTCCAGGGAGAGCCTGGAGTTAAGTGAAGGAGTCACTAGAAGTCTATCATTTAGAGATATGGAGTTGGATACCAAAATTGTAATCTGGAACAGAGGAGTGGTTAGGGAAGGATAAATGGGGGAGAAAGTGATCGGATTAATGCTATTAACAAAATGTGTTTTTAACAGAAAGTGACAGGGATTGTTGTACTGAAACAAAACTTGCCAAACTATCTGGCTCTTTGAACTATTTGCATATAACTTTGATACAAATAACAATAGCAAGCACCACAAAATGAAGACGGAGAAGGAGAATAGTAGTAGTGAAGTTATTGTTCAAATACACAATTGTTTATTCACTCAGTCACTCACCAGCTTTGAAGCAATGCAGGCATTCTGGTTCTGGAATCTGTTTGTAAGTGCGGTGCTGTACTTCCTAAAGAACGTCATGCTGTGGCAGAGCATACTTCTGTTCCTTGATGGGGTTTCTTTGAAGGTGCTGAAAGAGTTCTTTACAGATAGTTATACATGTGTCATTCATAAACTACTGTAGCCGTTCATGAAGTAGAGCGCAACAGATAGATGATCCATGTGTCCAAATTCTCTGAGACACTAGGTCACGTGGACATTGGTGAGCTAAATGCCAGTGTTCCAGAGCTGAGCCTGGGATGAGCAAAGCAGGAAATGGAACTGTTGCAATGACAGCATGGCTGGCTGGGGCCATTTCATTAAGATTCACTAGATTTTAGAAAAAGTTTAAAGTCATTCTCAGATATTCCTCTGGTGGAGTTCATCTGCTCTTAGATTCCAGATCTACCCTGGGGAGAAAGAGCTATCCAGTAATTTATGGGAATGTTTTAACGTCTACTAAACAAATGTGTGCTGGTTAATTTTCTGTGTCTATTTGACTGG